TAGCAGCTATATCACGTTCTATATTACTTGATATCCCATATAAACGACCTTTCAACCCATATAACGAACAGTGCTTGATATAGCTCATATCATGTTCCGTACTGGATAAAAATCTGAAAAGCAGCGGCTGGCAACCAGGCCATGATAGAGCAGGTTGGTATTTTTCGGCGTCAAATCTGGATAGAGCTGGAATTAGGGCCTAACAGCTTTTGTAAACAATGACTTCTCTTGATGATTTCTAGAAATTCTAGACTCGCCCACGCCTACCGACATCCTCATCGGATAGGGAAAGACTTTCCGTATCCGATGGTTATGTTGCTCTGCGTGGGCGTGCCTTGAATTCCTAGAAATCATCGATAGAAGTCGTTGTTTACTGTTACGCCCTAATTCCAGCTCTATCTAGAAATGTCATTTTCTTGTCACCCCGTCGAATCGATACACAAAACAAAATACAAGACGTGCAAGTGTCCTCCTTTTTCTCGTAGAGTTATTAGTGTTATCATTGATGGAAATTTAGGGAACATGAAGGAAACACGGCTTTAGTAGTGAACGATTTATTTGAGAATGAAGTTTGAAAGTTACAAAGAAAACGTATACATTGCTTCGATCTGGTTGAGGTCCACGTTGTTGCTATGATCCTTGAAAACTCCTCAATACTATACTTCCAATCCGCTCATCACCGGAAGCTTGGCCATCCGGATCCCTCCCATTGATTTAGTCAGCAGATCAACACTAATGACTGTTGGGCAATAGACGAACTGGATCTCACCTTTATTATTTGTCTGTCGCTGAATTTTCCAGCATTTTTAGTGCACTCTGGTTGTCTTCGTAGATAACGGGATTCTGCTGTTCTTCGCCGAGATCACGTAACAAACGCTTGAGTCACAATATCTCCTGTGTGGATTCGGAGAGCGCCAAGCATTCTGTCTCTGTGGTGGATAATGACACATGATTATTTCCTGCACGCCCAGCTGATGGTACCACCATTGAATTTAATTCGGTGTTGGAGTTTAGCTCTTCTCTGCGTTCGGCCCCATCCGCGTCCGAGAAACTGATCCGGTCTTTCTATTCATTGTTGCAGCTTACTCGTAACCAGTGGTCCATTTAGCTACCCGCTTGAGCACGTTCCAGTCGGTTTGTGTAGGGCAGCTCGTTTTCCTACTGACGATGAAAACCGTTGCCGATATGTCCGGCCTTGTAATGACCGACACAAATAGCAACTGACCAACTAGCTTTTTTAAAATTTATTATAGAGATTTTTTTAGCCGTAGGCTAGTTCATCTCTTAGACCAACTAGCTTCTGGTAGCTATTGTTGTCCGGAAGCAGCTTCCCATCTTCTTCCTTGAAGTATCCCTGGTTCAAAGGGATTTTCTTCATCTTGGCATCCTCCAACCCGTTTGATTTAACGATTTCATCAATGTTCCATTTCTGGTTCAAGAAGAAATCACCTTTGTTGTCACGTTGAAGCACGATTCCAGTGATACCAGTGTATATCACCCATTGCCGTTGATGGCATTGTTGAAAAATTGTCTTTTTCTAACAAAAATTAACAGAATCTTATGGAAATTTTCGCTGGAGTGAAGAGATATCACAAAGGCCACCATGTTTCACACACAGTCTGACGTATGTGTACGGGATTTTACGTAGGAGTAAAGAGATACAGACTCGCCGTCAACGCCAATCGAAGACATGTTGAAGATTTTCTGTAGTTCTTCGGTCATCCCCTCAATGATATGCTCGTCCCTACTGGCGATGATGAGGTCGTCGTATACCAAAATGAAGCTCCACAGGCTATCTTCTTTCTTGCAAAACACTGACATGGATCGGAATCACACCACTTGAAGCCTAGTCATAGTAGCTCCGGGTGCAGTTTCTGGTTCCAAGACCTCGCAGCCTGCTTGAGACCGTATGAACTTTTCTTGAGATGTAACACCTTGTGCTCTTGTCCATGAACACTGAACCCAGGAGGCTGTCAGAGGTAATTCTCCTCATCAGTCAGTCTAGTACCGATTCCATTACCTACCATGCACGTTATCATGCGGTCAGAGGAGTGTCATAAGCAAGAGTTTTGTCGCGAGTAGTTTAATAACTCTTGAAAATGCTTGATGTTGGGGCGTAATGTTGAATGAAATCTACCGCTAGTCATCCCAAGCTTCGGTTCTATTAAATCCTCAGAAAAAGCTTGATCCTTCCCGAAAAGTTTTTCTGAGCAAAAGCGAACTGTAGAAGTCTTATGCCAAAACTTGACACATTTAAATTTTTAGTTAACAACTTACTTTCTGATGCATTTGCCCTTTGTGAAACATGGCTCTCTTCAGACAACGATCTTGCTTTCCACGATTTCAACATTATTCGCCTTGACCACGCAGATTCGTATGGAGGGGTGCTTCTGGGGATCAACAAGCTCCATTCCTTCTACAGAATCGATCTGCCTTCGGTGACAGGCATTGAAGTTGTTGCATGTCAGGTTAACATTCGAGGTAAATGCCTCAGTATTGCCTCAGTATATCTTCCACCAAGAACTGTGATTTCTCGTCAAAGTTTCTCGGATATCTGCACGGCTATGCCGGAGCCACGGTTGATCTTGGGAGATTTTAACTCTCACGGTACAGGCTGGGGAGAACTGTACGACGACAACCGCTCAACCTTGATATACGACATGTGCGACTTCTTCAAAATGACAATTCTGAACACCGGGGAAACAACACGAGTAGCCAAACCTCCCGCAAAAATAAGCAGATTAGACCTCTCACTTTGTTCGAGTTCACTATCGTTGGATTGCTCGTGGAAAGTAATTCAAGATCCCCCCGTTTTCGATGGTGGAATTCTCACTTGCTCTCCTTTCATGTAACAATTCAGCTCCAGGAATGGATAGAATCAAGTTCAACTTGCTTAAAAATCTCCCAGACGTCACGAAGAGACGCTTGTTGAACTTATTCAATCAAATGTTCCGGATGACTGGAGGCAAGTAAGAGTTATCGCCATTCGAAAACCTGGTAAACCCGCGTCGGATTATAATCCGTACCGTCCCATCGCGATGCTGTCCTGTGTACGGAAATTGTTGGAGAAAATGATTATTTTTCGTCTAGACAAATGGGTCGAGTCGAATGGTTTACTTTCAGATACGCAATGCTCGAGGAGGACCTGTAAGCACTCGGAGTTTTCGAGCGACATGTGCTAAGGACGATCTTCGGCGGTGTGCAGGAGAACGGTGAGTGGCAGCGAAGAATGAACCACGAGCTCGCTGCACTCTACGGCGAACCCAGCATCCAGAAGGTGGCCAAAGCCGGAAGGATGCGGTGGGCAGGGCATGTTGCAAGAATGCCGGACAACAACCCTGCAAAGTTGGTGTTCGCTACTGATCCGGTTGGCACAAGAAGGCGTGGAGCGCAGAGAGCACCAGGTAGAGCGTGATCTAGCGAGCATTGGGCATGACCGAGGATGGAGAGCGGCAGCCGCAAACCGAGTATTGTGGTGTACTATTTTTGATTATGTCTTATCTTCAGTGTTCGGAAAAACTCAAAAACTCAAATCTCATGCATGAGTTTATGCGCCCATGAGTTTTGCCTCGCAAAGTTCAACGTCGCAAAAATCACCGATGAGTTTTCAGGTTCAAAAATTCATTGCTTTATATTTTGACGTTATTCATTGTTATTCCTATTGTTTGCGCATCAGGGGTTGGAAAACTAACACCACATGCATAGGCATGATATCAATTGACGTTTGGATGGGTTTCATGAGTTTAAAGCTGGAATGATTTTTCAGTGTTGTGAGTATGAGTGCGTGAATATGCATGAGAATCTCAAGCGCGAATTTTGTTTGCCGCATTCGCCCGCAAGTTTATTCTCGCAGGGACGCTCGTTGAATGAGATTTGAGAATGATTTTCCGAACACTGCTTATCTTAAATGTGATTTTGTACAAATAAATGTATGTATGTACCATTGAAGGTGTACAGGATACTTGAGTTGAGTTGAGGTGCGTTTTACACCGTTTCTCCAAAGATATGAACATCTAAATCGTCAGCGTCCGCCCTCTATACGTAGAGCCGCACTTTTATTGAAATCAGTGCTGCAACTTGCATGCAAGTGGTTAGAAGAAATTGGACAGTAATATAATAATAAAAAATAATGATGTCCTCGTGTACATACCAAAATCATGAAAATATATCCCATTAAATCATTCCAGCCAGAAAACCTTGCACACGCAAACGATAATCCCCTCCCCCTCCACCTAAAGCTAGCTCTCAACCGAGGGTAAATGTTTTTGTTTCCCCGCTTCAGCAACACGGATTATCGCATTTCAACTTCCAGTTCCACTGAAATATCCCTCTTACACACAGTCTTCCGATTCACTGCCAGCACCACAACAACGGTAAGAAGGGGCATTAACACCGAGCTTTTCCACGTCGTGAGTTTGGCGTGTTATTATCTTAATCCGTCCCGATAAACGTCATCGACTGCCAGCTTGGATATGTAAGGACGAGAGGAGTGAAGTAGCAAGGAGTTCCTCTACTGTTTGAGAGAAAGCATGTGTTGATTCCACTCACCCTTTCTTCTTCCACCAAGCACACAACATTCCCCAGCGGCGACGACGATGGTAAGGTGTTTTGAACTTGTCTCATCTATCTATTTTTGTTCCTTCGCACATAGTAAATGGATCGTTTCTTGTGCGGGGTAATGTTTTTCTAACATGATGTACCCCCCACCGCTCACACGCGTTCTTACGACACTGAACGCTGTGAAGCGATGAAAATTTGATACTAGCACATACTTGAGGAAAACTTCGCAGAATAGCAAGGGTTATAACCGAAGGAAGGTCAAGATTAAACAGTTTTCGAGTGGCACCAACTGAAAGAAAGAAATTTGAAGCAATCGTTGGAATGCCATCACAGTTGTAACTGAATGCACACACCCGACACCCTCTCCGTAAGTAGCTCACGAAATGTAAGTGCGCACTTCTGCAAGTGTCAGACATCCTCGAGCACAAGTTGGTAATTACCTCGGAATCCTCGGAGCGGATGATGTTGAAGCGTTCGTCACTGCTGTACGTTGTCACGCCGATCGTCATCAAGTGGTAGTCCTTCCGTTGGATCCACGATACCTGTACGGAAAGAAAATGGAGAGACATTAAAACATTTTCTCTTTCCTGCCTGCCTGCCAGCCTGTGGTAACAAAACGGACCCGGTTCAATGGCATTCAAAGTGGTAGGAAGATGGCACGTGTTGTCTGGTTTATGGTAATTTGCTTCGTCATAAAATGTTGAGGATGGCACTGAAGTGCACAAATGGAGCAATTTCCTTGCACGACATACTTTACGCTGTCTGGTAGGCTTTCTTTGAATGATGAATACTTAGCATTCGTCCTGCGCTGATTGCATTTTACCGTTTTATCAATGCAGTTTGCACTCACGTTTCAGCTCTTCAACAATTATCATTTAAGAGGAGGGGGTGTGTCTATAATGTCCGTCACTGGAGCGATTATGAATTTAACTTTTTGTCGCTTTATGAGCCGAACACTAGGACAGCTCCAATGTAGTGGCGGCATTGTACTAATACATTCCGAAGAATTTTCAAAATATTTTAACTAATAATTAAGATAAATCATTTCATAATCAGAACTTGTACCCCCAACATTTGCCAGAAAACTTACTACTAACTCAAAGTATCTTCCAAATAAGCTTCAAAATTGCATATTTTTTTATCAAATGTTAAATTCAGTCCTCTATATCCGTAATACGCGCGCAAGGCTCAAACCTTTGTAGACTATTATTCTTTTTTACTACTACTACTATTAAATCAAATATCAAAAATCCATCATCACCATCGTGGCGAACAAAATAGTTTTTGCAGTGCTACAGTAATTATTAAAAAGCCGTTATAACAGCTATCGATACAAAATAATCCGTTAGAGTTAACTTCGTCAAGATACATAATTTGTCAATTCATAAAAAAAATCACTGGATAACCGTCCAAAATACATTTTAAACGTGTGAAATGCAAGGTCTCTTAAATTATGCGAATGTTGTTGCACGTTTAATGTGTCTAGGCATCGAATTGAAAACATTTATTCCTTTAAAATATAATGAATTCTGTGAAGCACAAGTCAATAAATGTGGTGTTCTTATTTCATCCACGGTTTCCAGTATTATATCTATGATAATAACTTCCTCTTTCAATTCGATCACACAAATATCAAGGCAGCAAACCGTTAACTACTTTAAAAATGAACACCATAGTCAAATATACAATTCTTTGCTTCACCGACAACCATTGTAAGGCGTCTAGCATCAAAGTTGAGGAAGTGAATCTATTACATCGCATTATTTCATTCTGCAAGCGCTGTAATCTCGATATTTGTGTGGCATTGGAGAGAAATACAATGTATGGGCAAAAGTCTAGATGAGGAGAGATGATTGATTTGTATAGCTGTATTTTAATAGCAATAGTAAAATCGTTTTTCAGTCGACATAGAATTTCATACTTCTTGGCAATTTTCTTGATGACATTCTCAATGGGAGAGTTGAACTTAAGTTTGTCATCAATAATCACGCCAAGATATTAAATCTTCCTAACGTGATCAATAGTCTCATCATCAATTACAACAGAGACGTTCTCATTTACTCGATTCCGCGAAATTACCATAAATTTAGTTTTACTTGTATTCAATTTCAACTGCTTATATTTCAACCATCTACTTAGAGTGTGAGACGGCAGCTTCTAAATCCTTAGCTGCAATGAATAACACAGTATCATCTGCAAAAAGATTAATGTCGCAAAATCGTAAAACACGTCGCAAGTAATTAATATACATAATACATAACAGGAGCCCTAATACACTTCCCTGGAGCACTTCAAGGTTATTCCCCACGGGACTGGAAACAGAATCATTAAAAACAGTCCATTGAGTTCTGTCAGACAAATAGCTTTCAAAACATTTACATGCAGTACTCGTAATTCCAAAGCGCTTGATTGTACTTAACAGTAAAGGCATAGAAATTGTTTCAAAAGCGCGTTTCAGATAAAAAAAAACAGCAACACACATCCATCAAAATAGGTTGCTGCAACTTGATTGTGACTTAAATAAGGTGCATACAAGTAACCACAACTGTTAAGTGACAAGTGTGCTACTAGGGAGTCGTTTCTCTACGCTTCAAGTTGTCTTTCCACTTTGCTGATACCAAATTCAACGCATTTTCACAAGAATAACCACCCGATATGCTGATTGTTCTGGTAAAAGTTGCCTTCTCAATCGGGTTCGATATTGGTTCGATGTTTCTCCGAATTCAAATGCTTCTTCCACAGCGGAGAATGCCCGAATCATCGCAGACATTGGCTTATGGTATCCATATGCAGTCCGATGGAATCTTGGTTGTAGTAAGAATGATTGCCTTAACATCCTTTGAGGGACACGGAAGTTTAATTGTGAAAGCTGTTCAGGGCAGTCCACATCGCCATTTAAAAGTTTCGCTACAAATAAGGTTTGTTGCATTTTTCTTCTGTGTTCCCATGTGTCCTGGTTCAATAGCATGCATCGGTCTGCATAAGATGGTAAATTGCTGTAAATTACTGAGGACCAATACTACCGACGTCAGGGAGGCAGCTCCCATACCTGGACCCTACCTATCGATCCAACCAACGGCTTTACTTCCGTTCCGAAGGAAGACGTGATCAGAGATGTTATGCCTGAGAACATTCCGGCGGCGCCGACTGGGATTTAACCCAGGCCTGCTGGGGTGAGAGGTAATCACGCTAACCACTTAACCACCGGCGCCGTGGACAATTCTCGACAAGAACCAAAACCTGCGGGGCGGCATATCAAACTTCATGGTTTTTCAAAACTCGGAATACCGTGGACTCTCACACTGAGGCAAATAGACCTAAGAATTTCATATGGCTCAACTTATGAACAACATATATGAATTTCATAAGCATGACTTATGAATGATTTTCGGCTAACATGAGGTAGCTATTATATGCCTTTAACCATTTCATTTTCCCAAGCGTTGAAAGACGAGTGGTCAACACACGGGCCCCCTAACCTCAACGTCTATTTTCCGGTTCCAGTCTGCTCCGATTTATTATTTTTTGTCAACATTATTTTTCATAAGGCTAATCAATGAAATTCACACTCATTTCTTATGGCTTAATTTCATAAGTGTTTCTTATGGAATTCTTACGTTCTTTTGCCTGCGTGCAATAAGGCCATTACCGGTCGTGTTTTGAAAAAAACCGTGTTTGACGTGTCGTACGCGAGTTTTAATTCTTTTTGAAAATGGGCCACTTCCTCGAAGGTATCGGAACATTTATAGGATGGTCAATGTGCCCGCGGTCCCTCTAATATTTTGCACGACGTTTTAAATATTGTCGAAAAATGATCCCTTCCCGGGGGCATCGGAATCATGAACTTTGACGGGTAGCACGACGAGTTTTATTTTTTTTTTTTTTTTGAGAATTGGTCAGTTCCCCGGGGACACCAGAAAATTTTTAGGATGGTTAAATGTGACCGTGGCTTCTCAATCAAGGCATTACCCCTCCGAGTTTAGAAAACCATGAAATTGTATATGTTTTACGACGGGTTTTGGTTCTTGTCGAGAATTGGCAATTTCCCGGCGGCACCGGTATATAATCATGGAACACCCTTTCATGTGAAACCACGGAATCATCAATTTAACATGCCGCGTGGCGACAGACAAACACCACGCGACAATCGGATAGCAACAGCATCGAGCAAGGTTCATCGAGAAACAGGACGTCAGCAGAAATTAATGCATGATCAGCATAAGTAAAGGGCGTCCACGATGAAATTGCCACACTATGAAATTGCTCTAACTTTTTAACCGTTGGGTAGAATTTAATGAAAATTTGGGTGGATTTAGTTCAAAGTGCATTATTTACATCCTGCAAGTTTTAAAGTCCTGTGATCAAAACTCGCGGAAATGGAGTCGAAAGAACAGCTCGTGCGTGATAAAAATCTTGCGCATTCATCACGAGAACAAGGATCTCTCGCATCGTTCCATCGCTAAAACGTTGGGAATCGCGAATTCCACGGTGTCGCGAGTGATTAAGCGGTTCGAGGAACGGTTGACCACCGATCGGAAGCCCAGAAGTGAAGGAAAAAGTATTCCGTACAACACCAAAAATCACAACCGCGTAGTTGGGGCCTTCAACCGAAATCCGAACGCCTCCGTTAGGGATGTGGCTAAGAAGCTGCACCTAAGCCGAAGTTTTGTCCAGAAGGCCAAAACTAAGGCTGGGCTTCGAACGTTCAAGGTACAAAAGGCCCCTAATCGCGACGAGAAGCAGAACAAGTCCGCCAAAACCCGTGCCAGGAAGTTGTACCTCAACATGCTGACGAAAGTTGAATGCTGCATCATTGACGACGAAACATATGTTAAGGCCGACTTCAAACAGATCCCCGGCAACCTGTTTTTCACGGCCAAGGATAAGTTCAGCGTTCCGGAGCATGTCCGCACTCAGAAGATGTCCAAATTTGCGAAGAAATTCCTGGTTTGGCAAGCCATCTGCACGTCCGGGAAGCGGAGTGCACCTTTCGTGACCCAGGACACGATGAACGGACAGGTGTACATAAAAGAGTGCCTCCAGAAGCGGCTGCTTCCTCTCCTGAAGGCCCACAACGTCCCAAAAATCTTCTGGCCGGATTTGGCTTCATGCCACTACTCCAAGGACATGCTGAAGTGGTATGCGGACAATAAGGTCAATTTCGTGCCGAAAATGTTCAACCCTCCCAACACTCCGGAGCTCCGCCCCATCGAGAAGTACTGGGCGATTTTATGAAGCAGCACCTTCTTAAACGACCTAAGGTAGTGAAGACAGTCGAGGAACTGAAGAAAGTATGGGTTTACATGCAAATAACGGTTGATTCACAGGTTGTGCAGAATCTTATGGCCGGGGTTAAGGCCAAGGTGCGGGCATTTGCGTATGGACTGTAAATAAAATACGAGTAAAATGGTAAAATGAAGTTTAATAGTTATTTCTCAATCCCTGAAAATTTGATGGCAATCGGATGAAAACTCGAATTTTGCGAATCAATTTTGTGTGTGGCAATTTCATCGTGGACACCCTTTAGGGCATAACCCAAGTA